CTGCTGGGTTACTCAGGTGGGAGTCCCAGCGGTTCACTTCCAAGTGGTTCCTCCCTGTTTTCTTGGGAGTTTCCACACGCGCTTGCGCACACACACACACACACACACACACATACACACTTGCACACAGAAACATTAAAGAGAGAAAATGTCACCATATATTTCCACTGAAGGTAGAAAAAGAGGAACTAGACATGTATGCCTGCCACGCTGTTTGACCTCAGGAAATGGCCAGCCCATGTGACTGTCAATCAAGGTAGCTTTAAACCAAAAGTCCAGACACATCACCAACGTTGTCTCCTTGTATGATTATTCTCATTTTAGGTCATAAGGGAGCTTTTTACTTCAAATTTCCACTCGCTTCATACACAGACACTCTAATACAGAGTTGGAAATTAGCCCATGGAGACAAGAGTCATTTTTAGTTCTTCTTTAGTGTTGGCAGGTGGTTCAGAAAGTCAAGGTTTTCTCATGTTTGCGCGTCACTGAGCCTGAAGCTGGCATGATACCGACGTGGCTCAAGAGGTAGAGAATCCCCTCCGACTATTTAAAGCTGAGAGGTTAAATCAGTTTTCTAAGCCCTCTCAGTAACAGCCTGACCCCAGAACCTTGATGTGCAGCAAGAGATTCCGGTTTCCCTGCCTCTGAGCTGCAAGCCTGGAATTCTCCTCCCTAAGTTACAAAAGAAACAGAAGCTCAGGACACACGTTCTGAGCTGCCCACCATCTGGGCCTGGGCCGTCAGCCCCCGTTTGGCACCCTCGCCTCCCCGCCTGGGCTCTTTCCTGCCAGCTCTGCTCATCTTGCTCCTTGTTTCTCCTCAGTTGAGTTGTATGCGGACCTCCTTTCCCCAGCGTTATGAGGACAATCGTCCATCCATTCTTGAGCCTGAGACTGAGATTTCGTTCCAGTCTGTCTAGAACTTTAAATCCTAAGACAGCTGAAGTTGAGAAGCACTGGATCTAATGCAATGCTTCTTCAAGTTCAGTGTGCAGACAAAGAGCTTATTAAAATCCGGGTTCTTATTGAATAAATCAGGATCAGAGTCAAGCTCCCAGAAAGTGTCAAGGGCCAAGGCAGTTCTGCACCTGGACTGCACATCACACCCAGCCAGGGAGGCCTCACTCTTAGGGATGAGATTTAGGTGGTTTAAAGGGTTAAAACTTAATTTAACTGCTAAATAGCAGAAGGGAAATTAAAGTCACTTCCAAACCATTGCGCTAACCTGTGGCATGACTCTAGGAAAATAATTTCCTTTCAGCCTTGTCGAATTTTCCAAAAGGAAAGATAGTTATTGTTTTTTTCACAATGTATAGGGCTATTTGAATGAAAGACTATTTTCCTGCTTAATTTTAGCCTGGTTATTTTCATTCTGACAGAGTGTTAACCTCATCCAAGCCAAGAATATATCATCATCCATCTTATTTGCTGCTTTTGAGTCATAGAGCAAAATGGGCTTTATACCTTCTTTGCTTAATTTAGCTTCTAGACCAAGAATTCAAAATGGGGCAAGATTGCCCCCACAGGAGTCAGAACTCATTCGTGGGGGATGAGGAAAGCTTAGATACTTTTGTGGCCCGCCACAGCTCAGACCTACTGGACGAGGTCCTATTTCATTGTATTTATTTTTGTTGTTGTTGTTCAATCGCTAAATCATGTCCAACTCTTTGCGACCCCATGAACTGCAGCATGCCAGGCTCCTCTGTCCTCCACTATCTCCCAGAGTTTGCTGAAACTAATGTCCATTGAGTCAGTGATGCCATCCAACCATCTTATCCTCTGTCACTCCATCCTCCTCTTGCCCTCCAATTTTTCTCCTTAGGGGGTGATAATGAAAAACAGTTGAGAAGCACTGTTCCAGACAAAGACAACCCATGCATGTCCAAGCTTGTATGTCCTTCCTGAACTATGCCTGGGGAGGATTTGTGATAGCATTTCTGAGCTGTGAAATTTGGACTTAACAACAATGAATTCTCTAAGAGGAAATGTCAAAAGCATTCTTTCCTGTTCTCAGCAAAATAGTATCCTCTCGATGAAAAATTTGAGTTCCAGAAGCATCTGGTTGTGAGCTCTCTTGCTGATGGGACATTCTGGGATGTGACCTGGAGGTCGACCCTCCTGGGTGTCAGTCCTGGCTCTCTCCCTCCCTCTGGGACTTTCAGGAGGTTCCTGTGCCTCTTTAAGTCTCATTTGCATGTGTACAGTGGAAATAAAACTTTCCTGATAGATTTGTTTTTCAGATGAAATGTGAAGTAGGTTTAATGAAGGTAAAACAGTGTCTGGTGCATAAAAAGTGCTCCTTTAGTGCTGGGAGAAGTGGTGGTTATTACCATCTCTCTATATATGTCTACCTACCTACCTGTCAATCAGCCACCTTATTATTATCATCATCATCTCTGTAAAATACCTCGGGTGCAAAGGAATCTCCTGAATCAGATTCTGTCCTCATCAGACCTGAGCAACTCCACCTAACTCCTTCACAATTCACCCTTCCCAAGCTGGTGGGATTAACAGATACATGCTGTGTGCATGCATGCATGCATATTAAGTCCCTTCAGTTGTGTCTGACTCTTCACGACCCTATGGACTATAGCCCACCAGGCTCCTCTGTCCATGGAATTCTCCAGGCAAGAATACTGGAGTGGGTTGCCATGCTCTCCTCCAGGGAATCTTCCCAACCCAGGGATCAAACCTGCGTCTCCCCATTTCCTGCATTGCAGGCAGATTTTGTACCCACTGAGCCACCTGGGAAGCCCCAGATCCATGCTACTATATATAAAATAAATACCAAGGACCTGCTGTAGAGTGCAGGAAACTATATTCAATATCTTATAATAACCTGTAATGGAAAAGAATCTGAAAAAGAATACACATGTATTGGGTTGGCCAAAAAGTTCTTTCAGGTTTTTCCGTCAGATCTTATGACAAACTGGAATGAACTTTTTGGCCAACCCAATATACAGGTATAACTGAGTCACTTTGCAGTACATTGTGATGGGAACATTGTAGATGAACTATAATTTTATTAAGAAGAAAGTGGGAGGTGAGCACCACCCCCTCCTTGGATCCTGGAGGATGGCTGAGCCTGGGGGTGATGTATTTATGCAACAGCTCTTTCTTCCATGCTGACAGCTGCTAGACTAAGTGGCCCAGAGGAGGTAGAACATATTCACACAAAGAAAGTTGATCCTAGATTCCATTAGCCCAAGTGGTCTCTGATTTCTTCCTGGTGTTGAGAAATAGAGAAATAGAGCTGGATTTACTTTAGTCAAAGTAAATACAACAACCAAAAAAAAAAAAAGATTAAGGTTTAAAAGAAAGAAAGAAACCCAGAAAGACCAATGTGTACAGACCAGGGAAATAGTACATTTTATATAAAAAGAGAATTGTAGTCTTTTGTGACCTCAGAACAAGTCCTATCCAAAAGCTTTTGTTATGCTCTCATATCCATTGTTTATTCCACTTGGCGAATGCTATTGTTTCGAATCTTCGTCTTGGTGAGTGCCGTTATTATTATTTGCAATATGAGCTCCTTAACAAACCCTGAGATGAAAAAGAAAGCCAGAGTAAACTGGACTTGCTGCAAGTCTGTTGTTATTTCAGAGAATCATGTTTTTTAAAAATGTATTCAGGCTTGTGTAAATGCAGAACTCAGTGAATGTGTAAGGAGAGCCTTACCAACACTTCCCAGGGCGCTTTTCATGAGCTGAGCATCCAGATCCGTCACCGAGAATGAGAGAGATGTGAGTCCTTGGTGCCCCAGGTTAGAGATTCAGCCTGTGTCCTCTGGGCTCCTCTGAGTGGTGGGTCACATCCTGGAGGCGTGTCTGGTGAGGGTCCCTGATTCAGTGTCCGGCTAGCAAACCTCGGCTCTTCCTGGTTCCCAGTCCAGCCGTTGGAGTCTCTAGTCCCAGTCTGTAGTTATTGGAGTCAGAAGAAGCATCGCATGCAGTAAGGAGCTAAGCCTTTGCTGAGCCGCAGCGCCTGCCCACTGAACTGGCCTTTGATGAATGATAAGGAGAATGGAGTTAGCGGGGAGTCAGGTACCCCACCCTGAGCTGCCTGGAATTCAAGGTAGAATCTGCAGAATACACTCATTCCTGTGTGAAGGAATCCTAATTAGTTTCCCCTCTAACTGCTCACCAGACACAGCCCCTTGGTCCTTCCCTTCCTCCCGCCCTCCCTTCTTTCATGCATCCCTCCCTCCTTCCTTCCTTCCTTCCCCTCCCTCCATCCCTCCCTTCCTCCCTTCCTTTCTTCCTTCTTGATTCTTATTTTATTGAATCTTTACTTTATTCTTGATTCTTATTCTTCCTTCTTGATTCTTAACCCTATTTTAATTCCTTAACCCGGTTTTCCAGTAAGTGATGCATGCGGTTTCACCGCCCCTGTTGTATCTTTGGCTCATCGCTTCTCTCCTGCCATCTGTCAGCTTTGTGTCTGGGCGACTCTTGCTGCTCATCCTGGAGGGACTGTGCACAGAGAGCTTGGAGCCTGGGTCCTGTGCGCAGTTGCCTAACTGGACAGCAGGGATATGGTGACGGACATCAGTAAATCCAGCTCTGTTTCTCTATTTCGCAACAGCAGGAAGAAATCAGAGACTACTTTGGCTAATGGAATCTAGAATCAACTTTTCTTGCATGAATATGTGGTGACAGGGACAGGCTGCTCTTGGGTCTGTTAGCACATCACTCCCCCAGCTCTGTTTTCTCTTCTGAAAAGCTGCAACAATGACGTCCTTGTATCTACAGAGTCTTCCAAAGGGTCTTCACACATTCAGAAAGGTTGAGACAACTTAAATAATCATGTTGAGAGTGATTGTCATCATTGGAGATCTGGAGGAACAGTTATTTTAGAGAGGACTCAAGGGGGTGGTTATACTTTACCCACTGTTTGAAAAACTTAAACCATCAAAATATCATACAAGAACTCAGAAGCTTTCTGATTTTCCTCTCTGGGCCTAAGTGGAACGTCTAAAGGAGAGCCTTGTTCTGTTTCCAGATTGCCGAGGGAATGGCGTACATCGAGAGGAAGAACTACATCCACCGGGACCTACGAGCCGCTAATGTGCTCGTCTCCGAGTCTCTCATGTGCAAAATCGCAGACTTTGGTCTTGCTCGAGTGATTGAAGATAACGAGTACACAGCCAGAGAAGGTATGTTCCCAGAGCTGTCTTTAGGTGTTTGGTTATTGTTTAATTTTTGCCTATTTTTAACAAAGCAGTTACAATAGGCATCATAAAAAAAAAAGAATTCATTTGGTACAATATTCAAAATGTACCATAGCTTCAGTTTGTGGTGTATTCTAATAATTGTTTTTTTTTTAATGACTCTTTCAGTTATCTCTATATGACACTTTTATAAAATTTACAAATGCTGTCATTTGTATTTCAGTTAAGCAAGGCAAAACAAGAAGAGGCTTGGCAGAATCGTAATTCTCTGTTCATATTACATGTCAGAGCTTTTCACCCAATGGGGTACACTTTGCTTCACTGTAGAAAAAATATTTGTAACGATAATTCTATACTATACTATTTGAGGCTATATTCTGGCCTTTTAACTGTTGAGTTGCCCCAAAATTTTGTTCAGGTTTCTCCATTGCATCTTTTGGAAAAACCCTAACGAACCTTCTGGCCAACCCAATACAAATTAAATCATGGAAATTATCACAATCACACACTCACACAGAAGTGAATGTAACACTACAAAAATACACTCCTTTATTTCCCCACATTCCGTATTATACATGGAAACCAAAGAACATCCGGAGCAGGGTAAATCCCCGAGTCCCTGGCCTGTCGCTCCGAGGCCAGCCTGTCTGCCTGCACTGGCCTCTCCTGCTGGAGACTATTCTGTGTTGCTTGTGATCTGAGAACTCTGACAATCTCATTCCTGAAATTTCAGTGAGTTGTTTTCTTGGGGTTTTTTGCAGTGCTGTCTCTTCTGAAAGAGTCAAGCACTTCCTTGACATTCCTAAGACTTGTTCAACAAGGATTAATTTAACAACATGTGTGTTATTTCTGGAAGGTGCCCGCAGAATTCATAGGTGTGACAAACAGACTGAAAACATTGTTTTGATTTGCGAAACATCTCTTGCATTTGTCATGCTTAAGGTGGTTCTCCTGCCTCGAGTTTCGGTACTCTTCGGTGGACTATAATTTATCTTTGGCCTTAAGCACCTTCAGCAAAATGGCAGGTCAAGGAAAACAGTTTGAGGAGAAGTAGGCAAAAGGAAAAGACCTTAATGCTGAGGAAGACAGGGCAGGAGGAGGAGGGCGTGACAGAGGATGAGAGGGTGAGGTGGCATCACCTATTCAGTGGACACGAGTTTGAGCAAACTCTGGGAGGTAGTGAAGGACAGGGAAACCTGGCATGCTGCAGTCTCTGGCGTCGCAGATAGTCAGACACAACTGAGCGACTGAAAAACAACAGCAGTCTAAAAGGTAGTGAGCTTTGCAGTGAGGCAGCTGCTGTTCTAAGAGCTTTTCGTACATTATCTCATTCATCTCTACAGTAACCCTATATGACAAGTAGTATATTGTTTCCATCTTGTATATGAGGAAAAAGGAGAGGTTCAGAAGCTTCTGAAGCCATATAGCAAGTGGGAGAGCCAGGATTCAGACCCAGGAGATCCATTTATGACATTGGTTTAGTAGAATTTGACAAGCCTGTGTGTGTGTGTGTGCTCAGGAGCTTCAGTCGTATCTGACTCTTTGATCCCACGGACTGTAGCCTGCTAGGCTCCTCTGTCCATGGGATTTTCCAGGTAAGAATACTGGAGTGGATTGCCATTTCCTTCTCCAGGGGATCTTCTCGACCCAGGGATTGAACCTGTGTTACCCATTCAAAATAAATCATCAAAACTTTCCCTCCCAAAGAAGAAAAGTGTGAAAGTCACAGGCCTGTGACTTTTTTGTTTCAGCTCAGAAACCCAAGTAAAGCCCCTGTGTCTTCTCCCCTAGGTGCTAAGTTCCCCATTAAGTGGACAGCTCCAGAAGCAATCAACTTCGGATGTTTCACCATCAAGTCTGACGTGTGGTCCTTTGGAATTCTCCTGTACGAAATTGTCACCTATGGGAAAATTCCCTACCCAGGTACTGCTTACTTACCTATTTCCATTTGCAGGATATATATGAGAAAAAAGACAGGTGGTATGAGACATAAAAAAGACGAACAAAGAGGAAAGACAAGGGTGTGAGAACTTTGACTGTCTTTAGCGGAAGGTGTTCTAAAATATGCTTAGACGCTTCTCCGCCTTCTTGTCTGAGTGCATATTCTGTTGCTCCACTAATGAATTCCACTACTAACAGCCTAGAATGTGCTGGTGTGGTCACAGGTATTGCTGAAGCAACATGGTTGGAGGACTAGACACGGGGCTCCTCCCAAGCCTCGCACCCGATGGTGGAGGAAACGGACATAGAGATGAGGCAGTATGATTCTTTCTTGGTCAGTTCTGAAACGGAGATTTGTATAATGTACTTCGGAGTCTCTGCCACTTCAAGAGACAACCACCTCTATCTGCAAACAAATGATTCTTTAGATCCTCAGCTTACTAGCTGTGGGGACGTCATTCAGTATTTCCAGATTCCTAACATCTTCCCAGCCAGATTCTGCCAGCCCTCCCTTTTCCAGGAACATGCAAGCAGAGGGATTTTTCCCAAAGCCGTCTCATTCTTGTTAATGTTGGACTTTTCACAAAATCAATGGATACAGTCAATTTAAAAGTAAATCTTTAATGTTTAAATCATTTCCTCATTCAAAAATCTGAAGGTGCTAAGCATTCCCAAGGTGCCGGATGGAGCAGTCCCAGCTCCTCCCTTGAGAGCTAATAGTTGAGTATTGGTTACAATCATTTATAATAATCACTGATAATAAGGACCGTATGTAGGATGGGAAGTATGCTGTTGGGGGAGGGTGTGATGGTTTAGGGATTGGGGTTGGGGGATGGGTTGCAGGTTCTAAAAGCGATCTGGTAGCAGCAGGGACTCAGTGACTTGACAGAGAGCCCCAGGGGCTGTCCGGGGCTGGGTGTCCCAGAAACAGCAAGAGCAGGGTCCCGAGCAGGGGCAGGAGGTGTGGGGCAGACATGGAGCGGATGCGAGCCTCAGAGGCCTCCCAGGGGCTTCACCTCTGACTTTGCAAGAGACGGGAGGCTTTGGGGCAGGCTCCAGGCTCCTGGTCACTTTCACTGCTGTTGGGCCTGGAGGGCTGGCGGGAGGGGGAAGCCTTCGGGTGGGGCCTACACAGTGGACTGACGATCCTGTGAAACCCTCCAGTGCCAAATTTCATATTCTGATGGCTGCTCTGCTCTAGACACTGAAGTTAATGAATAACACCACTGCAAAATGGGGACGGTATTTTTGAATCAGCCGAGATATCTGACGTTATCTATCTATAATCTATAACCTATAGAGAAAGATTATTTACTCTGCCTGTAACTGACACCTGATCAATAAACATAGAGCCTCACAAGTGCTGTGTGGTAGGTACTGCATACTCCACAGTGATGTGTGGAGGAGGCTCTGGGGCTTGGAGGAGGAGACTCTGGCCCAGAGCCACATCACTAGCTCCTTCGGAAACCTGGCCACCTCGCCTTCACCTGCTGGGCTTATCACCACCATTCATTTCCAGAACGACTTCATCTCCCCAGACTGATACTGTACCCATTAGACCCTAACTCCCCGATCTGCCTGCCCCCCTCCAGCCCCTTGTTTTTGATGTTGTTGTTGTTTATTCACTCAGTTGTGCCCGACTCTTTGCGACCCCGTGGACTGTAGCCTGCCAGGCTCCTCTATCCATGGGATACTCCAGGCAAGAATACTAGAGTGGGTTGCCATTCCCTTCGCCAAGGGATTTTCCCGACCGAATCATCAAACCCAGGTCTCCTATCTTTCAGGCGGATTCTTTACCATTGAGCCGCCAGGGAAGCCTACTAAAATGGCTGAATGACCATGTTTTCTTATCCCATTTTAATGATGGCGACAATTATTATCAAAAGGGCCTCTCTTTTTTTCCCTTAAAGCTCTTCTCAGCGTCAAAGATGGACAGTTCAGTGTCTGAGCTACCCTGAGACAAGTGATCATAGTAAAATCCATCCTCCACAGTCAGTGATCCTGCAGAGCCTGGCAGGAATAGTGGGTGCCCTGGGCTTCCCAGGTGGAGCTAGTGGTAAAGAACCCTCCTGCCAATGCAGGAGACATTTAAGAGACACGGGATGGATCCCTAAGTCAGGAAGATCCCGTGGAGAAGGGAATGGCAACCCACTTCAGTATTTTGGAAAACCTCATGGACAGAGGAGCCTGGCGGGCTACAGTCCATGGAGTCGCAAAGAGTCAGACACAACTGAAGTGACGTAGCACGCGGGCACGCTGGTTGCCTCGCCAGAGCCCACCAAGCTCTGCCTCTTCTCGTCCTGAGAACAACTCGAGGAGTGGAAATGAAACAGTTGGTCTAGCTCACTTAAGGATACTGACTTCTTTAAGTAAACTTGCAATGAAAAGCTGATTTTGAAAAGTATTGGGAGGAGATAATGGATGAGAGAATGATTTTTTTTTTTAATTACTGGTAGAAGCTGGGGGAAAAAATAGTGCAAAAGACAGTGAGATGACGTGTTAGACTTCTGCTTGTTTATTCACAAGGTCTGTCAGATCCAACATCCTTTTGTCGTTAAAGGGAACTCTGTCTTCTGCTTATCACATTTACCTGTTTTTACTTTGGCAGCTGAATGCTGCCTAGATCCTCTTTGTACTAACCTCCTTTATATGATTACGTTGCTTACAGAAATGTCCTTAGCCCCTCTACCAGTTTTGAGAGCTGCTGTAACAAAATACTGCAAACTGAATTGCTCATACAACAGAAATGTATTTTCTCCAAGTTCTTCAGGCCGGGAGTCCAAGATCAAGGTGTTGACAGGATTGCTTTCTCCAAGGCTCATCCTTGGCCCTTGAGACAACATCTTCTCCATTTGTCTTCTCTCTGGCTTTTGCCTGCATCTCCATGTTCTAATCTCCTCTTCTTACAAAGACAGCAGTCAGATGGGGCTTAGGCCCACCCTAAAGGCTTGGTCACCTCTTTACAGGCCCTATGTGTAAATGCAGTCCCATTCTGAGGTCCTGGGGGCTGGGTCTTCCGTAGAGGAATTTCCAGAAGAACAGGGACTGTGGGAACACAGTTCAGCCCACAGCATCCTCTGACATTTGCTCCAACCAGGGATGAAGAAGGTGGGTACCACTGCATCGCATAACCCTCAGTCTGGCTTCTAAATGGTATCTGTGGGTTTTTTGCCTCCAGGGAGAACTAACGCGGATGTGATGACCGCCCTGTCACAAGGGTACAGGATGCCTCGCATGGAGAACTGCCCGGATGAGCTCTACGACATCATGAAGATGTGCTGGAAGGAAAAGGCAGAGGAGAGGCCGACGTTTGACTACCTACAGAGTGTGCTGGACGACTTCTACACGGCCACCGAGGGCCAGTACCAGCAGCAGCCTTAGTGCCGGGGACTCGAGCCACGCACGGGACCGCCGCCTCCCTCCAAAGGGAAAAACAATCCCTGGTCACTAGTTATTTCCTGGGCTGGCTTCCCTGGTTGTCCTTGCTTCCTTCAAACAAGGCCAGAACTCAAGAAGGACTTCTTCCACGGCAAAGGATTCTCCTCTCAAGGGCGATATGCCCACCAGCCTGCACCCAGCGGGCACACTGGCTCTGCAAGTCCAACACCTGGACATGGGTTTCTGAGAAGGAAACACCTATCCCACAAAAGTGCACCCACATCGGCCTCTTGTTTACGAGGGGGCATGTGACACAGAGGTTCGGAGGCCATTTCTGTAAATCGCAGACAGGAGCACAGCTGAAATAACCAGATGTCTTCATGACACTTCTTTGTATGTTCTCTATGCTTGAGCTTACTTGTTAAAAAAAAAAAAAAATCTACTAATCCAACCTGTTAGATTTCGCAGGTGAAGTCAGATGCTTCCCTGTCCTTTCCAGATTTCTGTGACCTCCCACCCCCTGAAATCTGGACTGGTCAGCACTTCCTTCCAAGGAGATCACTCAGAACCCCAGCTGGGCAGAGGAATCTCTTTCCTTGAAAGTGTCATCAGCAAGCAGGCAGGGCCACCGTGTGAAGCGACGCAGACTCCCCAGCCACCCAGGTTTGCCCAGCTCCCCTGGAAGGGAGCTTCAGGAACTGCTCTGCCAATAGAAGGAATGTCTTTTAACAGTCCAGCTTTTCAATTCCACAATTTCCTCTATCCAGACTTCTTTGGACCTTGTAGTTTGGACAAACAAGATGATTCTAATCTCTGCAAAACCTTCTAGGAACTTACAAAACATCAGAGCTTTCTTTACTGCTTCAATGATTCTGAACATTATTTTATTGATCAAGTATTCATTTTAGTTGTACTCTAGAAAGTAAAAATGCCATATTTGGGGGCTATTTTTGTGATTCAGCAATCTTTTCTAAATTGTGTGTGATCTGTGTGAGTCTATTTATATGAGGCTATGCTGGAAACTAAATGAGTGAGAAGGCTTTCCTGAATCACTGGAGCAAGTGAGAGAGAGGTTTTGTTTGTTAAATTTTTCTACTGTAAGCTTGAATAGAAAATGCTATATCACATCACATTTCACCTATACTGTTTGTGTATATATCTAATATTTCTATTTTTGATCTTATTTTAATACACCTGGGCCAGTAACATCTCAAGTTTTTCATTGGTGTTTAACATTTCCAACTGTCGTCAATATGAAAATGGGTACCAGTTGGTGGGAGAGTGGGGGTTGGGAGGTGATTCTATTGGTTACATCGTTTGAAAAATGTGTACAAGTTCTTTCTCCACCTTTTGAGTGTTTTCAGATTGGAGAACTGAGGAGTTGGTGGCCTGCACACCCATCATCCCTGTCGGGGGCCCAACAGGATTTGTTTTCAAATAGGCTTAGTAAAGTACATGCATGCGTGCTCAATAGCTCAGTCCTGTCTGACTCTTTGCGACCCCATGGACTGGGGCCCACCAGGCTCCTCTGTCCATGGGATTCTCCAGGCAAGAATACTGGACTGGGTTGCCGTTTCCTCCTGCAAGGCATCTTCCCGGCCCAGGGATCGAACCCGCCTCTCCTGTGTCTCCTGCGCTGGTATGCGGATTCTTTACCACTGAGCCAGCAGGGAAGCCAGGCTTATCTATCAAGCACCATTACAATTTCACTTTGTATGTGTTGCCTAGGTGTTGTGTGCCTGGAGAAAAGGATGAAATATTCTGCTTTCCCCTAAATTTTAACTTCCTTTCCCATATAATGTTTTTTAAAGGTCCATTCTAAAGTATTCTAAAATTCTCAACTCATAAGAGCCACCTTCACAAAGGTGAACTATTATCACCATCTAATGCCTGCACAGTTGGTGACCTAACTCACCACGCTGCATTTTTTTACATACACACAGCTGTTCACACTCCATTTCAGAAGCTCACACATGACCCAGCATCAAGGGAGAGTATAAGGAATCCCCAAAGCCAAAGAACATCTCTAGGAAATGACTAAATTCACCTTCACCTTGTTTTTCTCCATTCTGCTTCGTCTGGCAGTTTTACATTCAACTGTCCCCCGCGCACCACCCTGCCCCCAGGTCAAGTCTAAATTCCTTTGCCTTCTGCATCTCTGCTGTCACCCGGGCTTCCTCGTTTGTTCTTGACCTGCATCCAACTGGGTGGTGCTCCGCAGATGACACGCACTGTTCGGGTTCCTGACTGGCAGAACCAGGGGCTGGGGAGGTACTTGTTTAATCTCGGGGTCCACAGAGATGTGCAGGCTGGTTACATCTTCATGTCCCAGGTCATTATTGAGAATTTGAAAAACACAATGCCCACCCCACTCCCATCCCCAAGATCCTGACTCTGTTGTTCTGCCCTGGGTGGGGGAAGTACGGGGGTGTCAGTGAACTTGAAAAGCTTCCCAGGAATCTAAGGTGAGTACAATGCACGCCCAGGTTCAAGAGCCAACCCCAGCTTTGACCCGTATTGCAAAGTGATCTGCTCAAAAGAAGAACTTCTCTCTCCCTAGATGGCTTGCCTTCCTAAAGGTGGCTGTAGGTGTAGAGGAGGAAGGACGAGGAGGATGTGTGGCTTTTTCCTTTCTTTCGAACAGGAAGCTCGCTGAACCTAAAGTAGAGCTCGTGGCCCTCACATGTGTCCCTGGGAGGAGGTGCTTCCATAGGCCCTCCAGAAGGCTTCTTGGGGTGCTGTCAGAATCCCACCAGCAAAGCAGGTCTGGGTCTGCTTTTAGGGCACAGTACACCACAGAAGGGTACACACTACACCCAGGAGCGGAGAAGAGGGTCGATTAGAGGAGGGGCCATATTTGTCCGCTTACACAATGTGACAGATAAAGGGCGCTGAAGTTAAATGTAAGCTCATTTCTCATTTTGCCTGTGCTGAGGGCTTTCCTTTTGCTCAAACTACATCCGAGGAGGTTGCAGCTAAAAGGAAGCGAAGCACCAGCATCTAATAAATTCAACTGAATTAAAACAAAGGCTCATCCTGTGGGTCAGCCCCCCACCCTTCTGACTTTAAAGGCACTTTCCGTGCCCATGCTTAATTCCCATCAGAGCATCTCTCACACCGCCCACCTTTTCCCCATTCTGTACCTGCATTTCTACTTCTGCTGGTTGAATGATACATCAGTTCTTTATCTCTGTGCTTTGACTACGTGAAGTTTTCTGATGAACTGGGGGGTGCCTTGCCTTTCTTTCTGATGGCAATAATGACAGTGGATACACAAAGATACCCATACACCCATACACCATTCTCTCCATTCTGTGCTTTGGCACTTTAAAAAAAAAGATTACCTTGAACTCACACAGTCACTCTGGAATACCTGGATGCTAGGATCACCGATTCACGGCTGAGAAATCAGTTGCATTCAGGGCCACAAAAGGAATAGAGTGGTTTCTCTTCATATTTTCTTGCAAAATAAAACAAGTGAAATTCCTTTACAGTGGCATCTTCGTGACTCAGCTAGATGTTCTAAGCAGGCAAAGGAACTACTTACAAGATGCCACACTTGAAGTCCAGGCAGATGTGAGAGAAAATTTCTTCTAAAAATTTTAATTTGGGGAGAAAAGTCATGCAAGTATTTAATTCACCATTCACTCTTTTTAAAAAGACAACTTACGGAAACTACACTTTTGAATGAATTGCTTTGATAACATTTGTGCTCCATTTCATGACATTGAGGTTCTATTAAACTGATGAAAATTTATCCCAGAAAGTCCTAATCTGAGAGATGTGTAAGAGGGAAGCCTTCCAGTTTAATTTCCTGTATTCTTATGAATCTAAATACTTGGAGTAGGAGCAAGTGCCAAAAATGTCACAGGGTCCCCAAGATGGTCACCAAGTGATCTCGAATATTTCCCTTAAATCTGGAAATAATAGGGGCAGGCTTGGGCCTCCATCTGTAGGTCACTGATAAGATTTTTCAGATATAATCCGGATTGATCATTGTGCCCTGTTAATACAGAACTTCTAGAATCAAAGGTGGCTTTATTTACAGCACTGAAAGTCAATACCATGTCACAAAACAAAACAATCCGTGAATTTTTATAATTATACTTTATGCTGGGGCTCAGACAAGTTCTTAAGCCCTCATCTGCTAACCTCAGGGTCAGATGTGTTTCTGATTTAAGGTTTGCTTTTTTGTTTTTGTTTTTATTTGAAAGGCTAATACAATAAATATACTGAATATTTGGTGGATTTCTCTCAGTGATCACTGGAGAAGAAACCACTAAACAAATAAAACATTTCTGTAGGAAAAATGCCTGCGTTCATAGGAAGTGGAATGAACATAGCCTATACATAGCTTCAGATCAGGTTTTACCACCAAATGAGTTCTTAAAAAATGTGTGGTTTGGGGTTTTGGAGCTAAGGCGAAGGACCAGAGAGCTTGAAGAGTGTGTGAGATCTTTTAGTGTTAGTGAAGTGTCCAGTTCAAATTGACCAACAGGGGGCTGTGGTTACTCAAAACCTATTTTATGCAGCTATGCTGCAAGATGCAAAATATTTATGCATCTCTTTGAAACAACACATGTGTGTGTATTAATTGCTCAATCGTGTCCAACCCTTTGTGGCTCCATGAACTGTAGCCCACCAGGCTCCTCTGTCCATGGAATTCTCAGGCAAGAATACTGGAGTGGGTTGCCGTTTCCTCCTCCAAGGGGTCTTCCCAACCCAGGGATAAACCCCTCGTCTCCTGTGTTGGCAGATGGATTCTTTACTGCCTGAGCCACCAGGAAAGCCCTGAAGCAACGTAGTCATTGAAATACTCTCTGATAAAATGCACTTCAGGGAGGGCTGGGGCTTCGAAGTTCAAGTAGGAAGAAATGTCGAGTGGTTTTAGTGACCGCAGAGATGCCAGTGAACTGTGGTTGCTGAAATAGATAAAGGGCGCAGCAGCAGGCAAAGACCACAAACAAAAGGAGATGCTCTTTCACAAAAGACCACAAGGGGGCGTTCCGTTCAATTCTGATCACTGATGGTGGACTCCCAAATCTAACTGCCCTGAAAGTCACTCTGATGTGGGCAAGGGGGTGCAGGTGACAGATGTTAAAACACTTGCCCTGTCAAAGGATTTGAATCCTTCTTTGTAAGGCATTTTCTCTCCAAAGTGGATCATCACTCCTAATTTCTCGTCCTTGCATTTCGTTTGAAAGAACGTTATCCGGTAGTTAACAGTGGTCGTTTGTTACAGTGCTTCACTGAACGCAGTCTCAGGTGGCCAGCTTTAACGCGACAAGGAGAGTGGCGATCATGCAAGTGCAGGAAAACGGTTTTGGGGGGCAGGAGGTGAAGCGGATCTTTCTGTGGAGAGGTGGTGGGGCTGGTTACAAAGACAGGCCTGGACAAGCAGCAAAAAGCCTTTGTAAATAAGTGACCTTCAGGATTGGCTTAGAGGAGGCACGGGGTGCGGGCAGCAGAAGAGAAGGCTGCAGGGGATTTCAGAGAGAGGCTGGAGTGAGGGGGGAGGAGAGCAGCAAAGTGGGGGGTGGACATCAAAGGACAGAGTCCCCCAGACTGTAGAGTTAGGGCATGGCTCAATCTTAGAGGCCTCAGAATTGCCTCTTCATCACAGATTCCTGGCCCACCCCTGAGTTTCTGGTTCTGGGACAGAGTGTCATCTTCCCTTGGATCCCTCTCTGGGACCATCCTTGGCTCCAAGAGTGGAGAAGGAGGTGACAGAGGACAAGATGGTTGGATGGCATCATCGGCTCAATGGACATGAGCAAACTACAGGAGACAGTGAAGGACAGGGAAGCCTGGCGTGCTGCAGTCCATGGG